CATGTTTATTTTGTTCTGCAGAACAAAGCAAGGCCATGTTGGTCATGATGATATTGAAGCATTACCAGGAAATGTTGATTCAAGAAAAGTTATCAGATCAGGATACAATGTGGAGGAAGAATTTTTGATGTCAATAAAGATGGAATTTTTAGGTCTTATGAGTCACTCAGGTGACCTATTGCTATCTCTTTTTGTCCCTCATGGGTGAATTTAAAAAAAATGACCACCAAACTGAATTTTTTTGGAAAAATTCAGCTACTTCTAACATATTTTTCACTTATATCATCATATTGAACATGCATTCTAGTTTAAAATCCTGAAGTGGCAATAGAAAAGGCAATTGGATTAAAAAGTTTCAGAATTTTTATTAGTAAAATTTCTTTTGAAAAAAGAAAATATCATTACACCTTAAAAGACTTTCTAAAATACATAATCACAAGAAATTATAGTTTTTTATGCTTCAAAATGGTAAAAGGGGTATAAATGATCAAATCTAGACCTTGATTGAGTATCTTCTCTTGTATGTGTGACAAAAAATTGGCTTTTTGATTGCTATTTTACATTATTTTTTCAATTCTGGTTTGAAAAGTTTTAATATGAAAAAAATATGAAGCAGTAAAATTTCCCAAATTTCACTTTTTTGTCCGTTCAAGCCAATTCTTTAAATCTAAGCCAAAAAAGAATTTTTATATACGAGTTCTCTTACAAAAAATACTAGATTTTGAAGTGACCCTATGTTACATTATTGTGTTGCACTCCTGACATCTGATATGTATTTTATTTAACATTGTTTTAAAAATTATAACACACAATAACCCATTCTTACTTTGTAAATTAATTTGTCGTTTTGATATTTTTGATCGTTTACGGCATGTTTTTCATATTTTGAAGACCTTAACACATGATTATTTGCAAAGTGTAATATACATAAATTGTATATAAAACTATATGTGAAATGATGAAAACTATTACCTGAATTGACTAGAAAATTTCTGTAATTTGTTGATAGACATAGTGTTTTTTTTTTCAACTCATTTTTTAGTAAAGATAATTAAAAAGCATTGGTAATTATAAAGCAGTTTTGTTACACTCCTGACTGCAGTAAAATTTAAAATTAAAATCGTAGAACACAAAAATTCATAAAGTGTTGGCAACATGAAGTGGTAATGAAATTGTGCAATACTTATAGTCCAATACTTCATAATTAAAAGGGATGAAAGTATTTGAAATTCATATTTTATCTGGAATTATTCTCTATTTATGCCAAAAAAACTAGCTTAAATGTATATTTATTAGATAAAATATATTTTATAGCATATTTTCCTTTAGAGGACAAACACAGTAACCCACTAGAAAAATTCTATTCATCATTTTTTCTTTATTTTTATTCTTATTGGATGATGTATAATTCTAACATATTTGTTGCACTCCTGACCAATAGTATTGGGACCTTTAAAGTAGAATTGTGAAGTGAAAATTACATAAAAACTTGTTCTGTTGTTTCAGTGAAGTTGAGGGGGAATTACTTGCATTTTATGACAATGTTTTAGTGTGTTTATTTTTAACATTCATTAAAAAAATCACAAAAAAGATAAAACACATCTGAATTGATAAAATTGAAAAAGGAAGGATTTTAATAATAAAACTGTCAATAATTTAGTATTAAATTATACAAAAAGATCATTATTAATTAATGAATACGTCTAAGCATGAATAGAAGTGTTTTTGTCACACAACTTGAATCTTTAAAAAAATGTTTTGCACTCCTGACCATAGAAATATTGATCTGAAGCACAGACAGATCCTGTAATTGATAAATCTATTTGGTAAAAATGTTCTTTGTGTCTTTCTTTTCCAAAATAAAAATCAGAAAATCATATAAAGATAATAGTTTTTTCATGCTTGGGAGCAAAACATCAAATGTTGCACTCCTGACACTATTGGGTATGCACATATACTTGACTCTAATTAACGCTGCTTGTGATTTATATAACATTTTTAAGTTTTAAAATGTCTATCAGTTATTGTTTTACACTTCGAAAATTCTTTTTTGTCTTAATTTTCTTTCAGAATTTTACAATTGATGTTTTTTTGGCAACACTACATTTTTTCTGTTGCACTCCTGACATGGTATGACATTTTTTTAAACATCAGCCATGACAACAACATGATTAAACAAAAGTTACTACAGCCCACATTTAAAGCTCAATACTTTGAATATTATCAGGAAAGTTTTTATTTTCAACATAAAGCATTATTATTTATTTCACAGATCTCAAAAAAATATTGAAATTTCAAAATGTCACAAAAAGGTGTTGCACTCCTGACAATTTTAGCATCATTTTTGGGCATAACTTTTTTGTTAATTGAGATATCAACGAGATATTTGGCAGGTATTTAGACACTATCTAAAGACATATGCTGAGACATAGAAATCTATTTTCATTGCCTGTATTTTTAGTGTGGGTTGATAAATATGCGTTTGGTCATTTTTTTTTAATTCACCCTCATGCAACGTGTGTTGGTCGAAAATTTTGAACATTTTCACTTCTCTTGAACCACTGAAACAATTTCAACCAATTTTGGCATATAGCGTAAATGGGTGATGGGGTACAAAAACTGTGAATATTATGGTCCCTGTCCCACTGGGGCATGAGGGCAGGGGCTAAAACCATCAAAATTAGTGCTATCTTTTAAAAATCTTTATTCCTGAACATCAAGCAGTCAAACTGTTGGCATGATTGTAATAAGCATTGAGCCCTCTACCAAAGTTGTGAAATTCACAGCCCCAGGATTAGGGGTTCTGGAGTTATGGTTGGGCTCTAATGATCATGTAGTGAAAATGCACAAATTCTTAAAAACTCTCCTCTTCCCCTGTATATTAAGCAGATAAACTAAGTGCATGGTTATGGTGTGAAAGGATGCCTCCTCCCAAATTGTGAAATTTGTGGCCCCAGGATCAGGGGTTCTTGTGTTTGGGAGGGGGGGGGGGCTCTGTTGAATTTATATGAAAATGCATTATTCTTTGAAAATCTTCTTCTATTCTGGATATTGAGCAAACAAACTAAATATATAGTTATGGTGAGCAAGGGTGCTTTTTCCGAAATTGTGAATTTCATGGCCCCTGAGTCAGGGGTTCTGGTGTTAGGGAGGGGTTCTATTTTTTCTGTTGATTATATAGTGAAATGCATTAATTCTTTGAAATCTTCTTTTCTGTTTCTGTGTATTTAGCAAATAAACTAAATGCATAGTTATTATGAGCAAGAGTGCCTCTTCCAAAACTGTGAATTTCATGGCCCCAGGGTCAGGGGTTCTGATGTTGGGGCAGGTTTCTATTTTTTTTCTGTTGATTGTTAAGTGAAATGCATTAATTCTTTGAAAATCTTCTTCTCTGCTCCTGTGTATTAAGCAAATAAACTAAGTGCATAGTTTTGATGAGCAAGGGTGCCTCTTCCAAAATTGTGAATTTCTGGGCCCCTGTGTCTAGGCCTCTGGTGCTACGGGTGAGTCTCTATTAATTTTAGCTCTCTTGAGCTGAAAGCTCAAGTTAGCTTTTCTGATCACCCATTGTCCATACGTCTGTCTGTCCATCCTTCTGTACACTTTTCACATTTTCAACTTCTGGGCCAATTTTAGCCAAACTTAGTACAAAGCATCCTTGGGTAAAGGGTAGTTTAAATTGTTAAAATGAAGGGCAAAGCCCCCTTCCAAGGAGAGATGATAAAGAAAAGGCAAAAATAGGGTGGGGTCATTAAAAAATCTTCTTCTCAAGAATCACTGGGCCAGAAAAGCTGAAACTTATGTGGAAGCATCCTGGGGTAGTGCAGATTCTAAATTATTCAAATCATGACCCCGGGGATAGGGTGGGGCCACAATATGTATTACAAGGGGGAAATCAGGTGAAAAACAGCAAGGCCAAAGTTACTCAGGTGAGCTGCGGCCCATGGGCCTCTTGTTAGTCTACTGAGAGGAGTTATTCCCCTTTGCTATTCACCTGTGGTAATTAATCACTGTCAATAATGTAATTGAAAGCTGAATTGAATAAGAGAATTGTACAAGAATTTTTGATCATTTATAATACAAAACATACTTTCATGATTTTAATTGTCGAATAGAGTTGTAAATAAAATCAAATGTTCTTCAAAAATCAAGAGACACCATTGTAAGAGGGAATTAGATTGGGTTTCTAATAGTGCTCAAGCACTATTGATTTATTTAGTCTGAATTGTGATAGTGACAAATGGAGGCAAGCACAGTTTAGTGGAGTATAGAGGAATTACCTTGTCCTTCTGTCTGTGCAATCTTATCCGGGCTATATCTTTGTAATGGAGAATCAGTGGACCTCATACTTGATACAAAGATTGTTAATGACCTATGGGTGTGCCTTGACCTTGACCAAGTGTCATTCTGGGAAGTTTAAGGTCACTGGCAGAAAAAGCATAAAATCCTTGCTTAGGCTCTAATTTTGTAATGGAGAATCATTGGAAGCTCATATTTGGTACAAAGATTGTTTATGAACCGAGTATGTGTCGTACCTTTGACCCAAGTTCATTGTTGCAAATTCAAGGTCACTGGTATATAAAAAGTGTGAAATTCATAACATATCAATAATTTTCTAATGGAGAAACATTGGATGTCCATATTTCACTAAAAGTTTACTTAAGACCAGAGGATGTGTCTTTTTTTTTAACCAAGGTCTTATTGGCAAGTTCAAGATCACATATACAAAATTTGAATGGGCACTTTAAAAAAAATTGTAGCCAGGGGTATTATTTTGTGATTTCGCTCATTGTACATCAAGTTTTATACTTCTATGGATCCTTTACAATGGTGTATGATATTCAGGTGACCGTTAAAGCCCTTAGGCCTCTTGTTTTTTCTTGTGATAAAGAACAGCAGCGCCATGTGTGAGCATTGTGGCCCATGGGCCTCTTGTTTATTTTGCTTCATTCATATTTGATGTGTTCACTAATGAATATTTTTGCTCACTAATTTTATAGAAAATGTCAGAAAGATGATTACATCTAACTATAAAAATATCCTGGATGAAATGCAGATTACGTTAGCAAAAGAAACATTAACTAAGTGTATCGGAGATGTTGATACTATTCAAAAGAAAATCTCACCAAGGAATGGAAAACGCAGGCAAAGAATGGCCCATTTCTTACAGTTCATTCTTGAGGAAGACCACAATGTAATTCAGTTTGAGAAAATGTTAAGAAATCATGGATTAGAAGACTTGCTGAAAAAAAATGAAAATGTACATGGAGAGCATATAACCATCCAGGACATAGGTAAGTGGAGCATGATTGATAACCAACACAGTAAACTTTATATATACTTTGAAATCAATCACATCAGAGTTTTCTACTTAGAATGCAATTGGTTTTTCATCTGATTATAGAGATTATTATTGCTGAGGATCAGGTCCCTTCATCAGAGGGAGTCCTGTTTGAGTCCCTCCTCACCCTGTCTCCCAATGGTAAGTCCTAGGAGTACACCTATGTCGAAGCAGAAGCAACTTAATGAAGAAGACATACTTTAAAGAAAATATATAACAGTATTTTACTGCTGAAAATGAAATTGATACATGTATTTATAGAATCTTTATCTTAATATGTCTTTTCTGGTACCATGATAAGGTCACCTGAGTCACTCAGGTGATTTATTGGTATCTTTTTGTCTGTCATGCATCGGCCGTAAACTTTTGAAAATTTTCAGCTTCTCTTGAAGGGTTGAACCAATTTCAACCACTTTTGGCATATAGCATCTATGGATTAAGGGGTACAAATTGTTAATTTTATGGTCCCTGGGGCCTGAGGGTGGGCTAAAACCATCAAAATTAGTGCTATCTTTAAAAAATCTTCTTCTTTACTGCAGGACATCAAGCAGTCAAACTGTTGGCATGATTGTAATAAACATTTAGCACTCTACTAAAATTTTGAAATTCATGGCTCCAGGGTTAGGGGTTCTGGAGTTAGGGGGGGCTCTAATGATCATATAGTGGACATGCATAAATTCTTTAAAATTCTTCTTCTCTCTCCCTGTATATTTAGCAGAAAAACTAGGTGCATGGTTATGATGAGCAAGGATGCCTCTTCCAAAATTGTACAGTTTGTGGCCCCAGGGTCAGGGGTTATGGGGGATTTAGTGAAAATGCATTAATTCTTTCAAAATCATCTTCTCTGCTTCTGTGTACTAAGCAAACAAGCTAAGTGCAAAATTATGATGAGCAAGGGTGCCTCTTCCAGAATTTAGAATTTCATATTTCCTGTGTCAGGGGTTCTGGTGTTAGGACAAGGCTCTGTTGATTATATAGTGAAAGTCCAAGGGCCATAACAGCCACTTGAGTATAATACAACAATGTAAAGGATTCATAGAAGTACAATATGAAAAAATAAACTGTTGGATGTTAGATGTAGCTTTGCCCAAAAGTAAGAGAAATAGGATCAGGGATCAATGAAATAATCAGTCTAGTACTCAGTAACAACTCAAAGTAGATCTACTTGCCCCCAGTTGTCATATCACTATGCAGACTAAACAAAACAATTAATAATGGTTCAGCACTATTAATATATCCATCTCATTCCCTCTCATGTTGGCCTACATTGATCTTTGAGAAACATTTAATAACTTAAGGTAGAACCTATGTCGGAAAAGTCTTTGTCACAAGATTTTCAATTTTTTCAAAATGATAAATTAGCACTCGCTTGTCAATCAGATAAAAATATATGGTATGTTTCCTTGTAATTAAATGTAGTACAGCCTGTGCAACTTGGAATGATAAATTTACACTGCGACTACATATTTCCAGTCATTTTTAGGGGTACTGGTCATAATGAGAATATAGAAAATCACAACAGTACTTCTTCAAACATCGTCTTTTATAGACTTTATCAATTGAACCGTATTAAGCAATATTATTCAAGAATAAATTCTTTTTTATTCAATTGACATAAAAGATTAAGTCCACATTTCAACGAATATAGGCAAATGTGCTCAATATTTTTTGAGTCAATTTACCACCTAAATTTGTATATATTTTTCAAAAGTCTTTGTCAGAATGTTTTCAATCTTTAATATGGTGAAGAAGATACCCAAATAATTACAAAAAGTGATTAAAATATGTAGCTTTCCCCACAAACGAATGAGAGACACTCTATTTATCAATACTTCTTTTGTTGACCTTTCTGCACTAACACAGGATTTATTTATTAAATGACTGTTTTGCGGTTGCGTTCAGATTTACAATGTAAATGTTTAAATATTTATCAAAAAATGTAAATTTTTTATTTAAAAAGATATTTTAGGGAAACATTATTATTAGACACCAACCATTATGTAATGGATATATGCCGAATACTGTTCTATATGTAAAATTATCAGACTATTTGAGGCCCGTTAGGGCCGAAAACAGTCTGATAATTTTACATATAGAATTGTATGAGGCATATATCTTACTTAAAACATTGCCATTTAAATGTCCAAAAGTTACCTGGAGGAGTCCGATAATTACACAATAGGAGTTCAGGCATCAATAGTTTTCTACCTGAAACCATCTAATAAGAAGACAAAAGAAAAGAGAAAGTTTTTTTTTCCTTAGATAGTAACATCAGTGAGTGAACTCTTTTGTTTCATTCATTCAATGGCAGTCGTTTGGCTTAGCAGGAACTATGGACAGTGGTCAGGTGATGAAGGATTTTTTTATGATTTGAAATATTTTTTTATTAAGTGCATTTGACATTGATACAGAAAGAGTGTTGGATGATATCTTCAAAATGCATTTAAAGTAAAAATGTGGATTTTCATCTAAAATTTTGATTGGATGATATAATGAAAATCTTGGGTTTTAAAAGTGTGGGCATTGGCGAACAAACCTTGTTAAATTAAGATATTCGCAGACTGGTTCTTTATCGGAAATGGATTTAAATTGGCTTATTCACATTGATGTATCGAAAATGCTTTGCAAAAAACCGAATGGAAAGTGTTACTTTTGAGGAAGGTTAAAACTCCAGTTTCTTCTTGGGTTTGCTATTCTTAACAACTTAATTTCCTCGCGTTCCCTTTCCCTGAATATTTTCTCCCTAACTTTTTTTTTCTGGTTTCTGAACAAATTAAACCTTCATCTCACTCTAGTTGTTGTTTTTTAACTACTGTCCGATTTTGTTATCACTGCCGTCCGATAATATATTATTGGACTACTAATTATTATTATCGGACGGCTACAGGTAAATTTTTAGACTGCAAGAACAAAGGCATGACATCACAGCAATGTTTTAAGAATAATTAACAAATAATTATGAAAGGGAATGTACGTCATTTCATGATAGGCATTACAAAATTTACACACAATATTTAATAGATCTTTGACCCGGAGACATTTTTATCAAGATATTGTACTATTTAAATTTCTTAGGTTTTTTTGATTTCCTTCAAAATAGTTGCATACCATTCACAGTTGTGTAACTTCATTACAAGAGGCAGTCTTGGAGAAAGTACGGGGAAAAGTAACATTAAATTAATTATGACGTCATAATGGATCTAGTATAAAAAAGACGGTCTAAACTGGTTTACTTGATATGACGTCATACGACGTAGGTTCTAAGTTAAAGATAAGTTATTTTTGTCTCATTTTTATTAGGTCACTGAGGTCACCTATTGCTATCCATTTTTGTCAGTTGACGTGCATCCTGTGTTGGTCATAAACTGTTGAACATTTTCAGCTTCTTCTTTTGAAACACTCACCCAATTTCAGCCACTTTTGGCATATAGCATTAATAGGTGAAGGGGTACAAAAACTGTGAATTTCATGGTCCCTGCCTCCCCCCCCCCCCCTTGGGGCCTGAAGGGTGGGGCTTAAACCATCAAAATTAATACTATATTTAAAAATCTTCTTCTTACTATTGATCATATAGTAAAAATATGTTTTCTTTTCTTCTACTGTGTACAAAGCAAACAAACTAAGTGCATAGTTATGATGAGCAAGGTTGTAAATTTCATATACCCTGGGTCTCTTTTGATTATAAAGTGAAAATATATTAATTGAAAATCTTTAATATGAATAATTATCAGATGAACTTACTGCATAGTCATGATGAGTAAGGGTGCTTCTTCCAAAAATGTGAAAGAGCTAAATCCACGAAGTGCCAAAATTGGCCTAGTCATCAAAATAAATGAAACTTTCTCATATAATACTCTAAGATTTGTATGTTGTAAAACAATTTATTTTCAACAATATCTTTTCTGGTTTTCTTTTTACATTTGTTAAAATTTCGAATTGTTTTCCATATTAATACTATCACATCATTACATTGACGTTACATAATTTAACGTCGTGATGTTGACATTTTGTAGAAGAAAGTAACGCATGTACATTAATGGAATAAAAATAACCAATACAGGCTCTTCTTTAAAATTTTGGGAAAATTTTACTATAAATTTTTCAAGAAGTTCTAAAAAGTTTTGGTTTATTTTTCAATTAAAGCTATTTGTACTCTAAAGAATGGCTTAATTTGTTATATACAGCGGTTCTCTGGTATAATCGTAGATACATGTAACACGTTTTAAATTAAAATAAGAGACACTTTAAGCTGAAAACAAACACAAAGTGTTAATCCATCATATTTGAGTAAAACTGAATTAATGTAGTAAAATATATACTAAAGTAGCCATGGATAAGGATTTTATCGGGACCACTTAAGCTTTTCATTGCTGAACTGATTTTTGCTTTTTTCCTGGCCACAGTGCTCAGGTGAGCGATGTGGCCCATTGGCCTCTTGTTGTTATTAATTTTTGGCAATTTTGAAATCTTTAGAACTTTTCAATCTTCTTTTAATGAAATTCACAGTATTGATTCATCTCCCAATGGAATTTTGATATTTTACTTAAAAATTTAAAACTCTACTTCCAATTGCAAATTATTTCATTTTTTACTTTAAAATTTTGTCTACATATGTCTGTCACTTTTGGTCGAGACAGGAAGAGATTTAAGAAAGTGATTTTTTTCTTGCAGAAAACAGTGAGAGTGACAATGACTATGAAGGCCTGCATGATCCTCCAGTGCGGCATCAGTTGCAGAATATCCTCCGACAGTATCCGGATGGACCCCAGATCATTAGGGTAATTAACTCATCTGTCATAAAATGTTGATGTATGTGAATTTTAACATGTCGCTCTCTGAGTTTAATCAGTTTCTGTTATTTTATATTTCCTGACAGGAACTGGTACAGAATGCTGAAGATGCTAAAGCCAGTACTTTCAAGGTTATGACATGTATGGAGGATAATTTAGGGGATGGAGACTTTGACCCCAAATACAAAAAAATCTTTCAGGTAAACAAAATTTTACACACAAATAATATAATAATCATACAGTTTATTTCACTTTAATATTAAATGAGCTTTTCTGATCTGTCAATAGACAGATCAGAAAAGCTCTATTAACAGTAACAATATTGTGCATGAGTCATGGGTTCATACTTATAAAAAGACCTGTGTTTGCAATTCTTTTTAGTAATTACTTAAATTATTCAAACTCTAAACTCTGCAACATTCAGTACTAGATGCTTGGGACATTCCAAGTCACAAAAAGCTGTAGTAAATGGCAAAATCTAATTGGTTGACTCATAGGGCATTAACCAATGACATTACAGTGCATAGAACATTGTAATCATGATGCCACAAATAAAAAATGTTAAACATACACACTCCCAAAGCAGGGTGAATAAACTTTATTTGAAATAGGAAGAGCATCAGTGACATCATTTATAACAAATAATGAGTCAGATTGAGACTTAGACTGATCCAGTTGATTTGAAGAACCTGATTACCTGAAATAGACAATACAGAAACTGAGAAAATTTGGATGATTATAAAGTTTTCAAACAAATAGCTTATGATGTATTCCATGCTTCAGAACAGACTTACTGATAATACCAAGGGGTAAAATTAATGAGTGTTAAGATCTGTAGTTTGGAGAGAAAAATCACAAAAAAATGAAAACCAGAGAAAATTAGTTCTTTTTTTTTTTTTAAAAAAAAAGGGGGGGGGGGTGAGAACCATAAATATATTTTACCACGGATATTTCCTGCTTCTGATTTTAATTGAAAATTTATTAACGTGTGTTTTCAGTAAAACAAAATTTTGACTCATTGATTTTTCACCTGGAATCTTTGTTTCAACTAAGAGGGATCCACTGGATCCATGATAACCATTTTCAAAATGATTCACTGGGAGCTATATTGATTGAGAAAGTGCTTCTGATAAATGCCTAGGTCACATTTAAGCTGATGGTCGAGCAACCAAATTTTTCTCGTATTGTTGGCTGAAAAAACATGATCGGCCAACACTAGTATTGTGCGATGCAGAGTAGCCACATTAATTCCTAGTAACACTGATGCTTTTAAAAGTAAAAATATTTAAAAGTCATTAAACAATTGCCTGATTGTCATTTGCTGGGCCCCAGTTTGTTTTCCACAGTCATCAGACTTTTATGAAAAAGCCAATTCCTTAATGTTGACCGACCAATGACCGACTTTAAAAACTGTCTGCCAGTTGTTGGACAATGATCAAAGGTTTGTTGACAGACTATTTAATGACTGCTTCAATTGAAGTAATCAGTGACCAATGCAGAAAAAATTATAACTTGGCCTAACTGACATAAAATTGATTGGTTGATTTTGATGAGAGGTCAAAATTGGGCAAGACAATGGTTGATGAACTGCTGTCACCCGAAGAATCCTATTTTTGCTTCAAAAGCCGTCAACTGTCGATTATTTTTGGAAATGTGACTAGGGTTAAAGTTAGAGGTATTGAGAGGCATTTGTCTAACATATTGCAACTGATAAAGCCAGTGGCATTGAATGGCATTTGTCTAAACCAGTGCATCAGTTATTGTCAGTGGCATTTGTCTAAGACAGTGCTTCTGGTATAGTCAGTGGCATTTTTCCAAGACAGTGCTTCTGGTATAGTCAGTGGCATTTGTCTAAGACCGTGCTTCTGCAGCATTTGTCTTTACATTATGCTCCTGGTAAAGTCAGTGGCATTTGTCCTAGACAAATAAAGCATTAACCTTGGTGGCTTAGATTGAATGATGTAGCCAAATATGGGTGAAGGGCTTTAAATTTAGACCTTTACTTCACAGTCAGAGCCATTGACTGTGACACGGGGCCTTCACCAGGATTTTAATTTTCATTCGAAAGATGCACAGCTTTCAATTTAAAGTGCATAGCACTTGGTGAAAGAACAGGTGCTTCCTATTTTTCATTGACTTGGGTTTGTCAAGACCTGGTCACCAGCCCTTTTTCCTTTCAATCAGGAGGCAAGCTCTATATGAACTGAGTTATGACAGTGATCCTAGAGAAATATGGTACTTCTTATAGAAATCTAAATATAGCTGCTACATACATTTTTGTGTCCCCTGCAAAGCAGAGCAACACTTCGAGATCACATTACTCGGCATCTCTCTATTCATCCATCCATCTGTCTGTCTGTCTGTCCATCTATCACACCTTATAACTTGAGAACTGTAAGATGTATGGATTTAATATTTTGCACATATATATTGGCACTATGACTTTTTGTAAAATACCATAATAAACCATATTGTGACCTTTGAACTTGACCTTTGACCTACTTCTCACAATACATGTTATTCATAAAGCCAATATACAGCTTATTTTTGACATTTAAGAGGTAAGTCACTGTTTGTCGTTAGTTATCATAAAAAATTCCAGCATGACAGTCCGCTTGACCTTGACCTTTGACCCCCTTTCCAAACTGAGAACAGTTAATTTAAAACTTTTTATAGCTCACCTGAGCTGAAAGCTCAAGTGAGCTTTTCTGATCACATTTTGTCTGTAGGCCGTCTGTCCGTCCGTCTGTAAACTTTTCACATTTTCAACTTCTTCTCCAGAACCACTGGGCCAATTTCAACCAAACTTGCCACAAAGCATCCTTGGGTGAAGGGGGTTCAAGTTTGTTCAAATTAAGGGCCACACCTTCTTCCAATGGGAGATAATTAAGAATTGGTGAAAATTTGGTGTCTTCTTTTAAAAATCTTCTTCTCAAGAACCATTGGGCCAAATAAGTTGAAACTTATGGGAAGCCTTCATTACATAGTGTAGATTCAATTTTGTTCAAATCATGACCCCCGGGGGTAGAGTGGGGCCACAATGAGGGATCAAAGTTTTACATAGGAATATATAGGAAAAATTCTTTAAAAATCTTCTTCTCAAGAACAACAAATCCACAATTAGTCATATTGATATGGAATCATCCTCAGGTAGTATAGATTCAAGTTTGTTCAAATCAAGACCCCTGGGGTAGGGTGGGGCCACAATGGGGATCAAAGATTTACATATGAATATATAGAAAAAAATCTTTAAAAATCTTCTTCCAAGAACAACAAAGCCACAATTAGTCATATTGATATGGAATCATCCTCAGGTATAAGTGTAGATTCAAGTTTGTTGAAATCAAGACCCCCAGGAGTAGGGTGGGGCCACAATGGGGGATCAAATTTTACATGGGAATATGTAGGAAAAATCTTTAAAAAATCTTTTCAAGAACAGGAAAGCCATGATTAGTCATATTGATAATGAAGCATCCCCAAGTATTGTAGATTCAAGTTTGTTCAAGGCATCCTCCAGTAGTAGGGTGGGACCATAGTGGGGGATCAAAGTTTAACAAAAGAATATATACAAGAAATATCTTTAAAAATCTTCTTCTCAAGAACAACAAAGCCATAATTAATCATATTGATATGGAAGCATCCTCAGGTAGTGTAGATTCAAGTTTGTTCAAATCATGATCCCCCTCCCCCCAGGGTAGGGTGGCAGACATCTTTAACATTCTGTTTTCAAGAACAGCAAAACCATGATTAGTTATATGAATATAGAAGCATCCTCAGAATGTTTAGATTCAATTTCATTCAAAACATGGCACCTGGGGATAGGGTATGCCTAGAACAGGCAATCAAAGCTTTACATATGAATATATAGGAGAAGAAATCTGCTAAAAAGTACTGCAGGGCCATATTGACTCAGGTGAGCTTTGTGGCCCATGGGCCTCTTGTTTTGGATATTGAGAAGCAAAGTTTTCATAACTAGCATATGTATCACATTTTTATGAGCTCATACAGTGTACTTTGAAACTGCATACCACACAAACTGAAATTTAAATATGAAAATACATTGGGATCGGTATACCAAAATGAATCGCACTTCAAATAACATTCTAGACTGACAGTTGCAGTAAAGACTTGGTTTTATTGGTTAATATTTATTTATTATAATTTCAATTTCACTATTCATTTAAGCTTTGAGCTAGGTTGGTGAATCATATTTTTATAGCTCACCTGAAGTGAAAGCTCAAGTGATCAAAATTTGTCCGTTGTCTGTCGTCGTCGTCATAAACTTTTCACATTTTCATCTTCTTCTCCAGAACCACTGGGCCAATTTCAACCATACTTGCCACAAAGTATCCTTGGGTAAAGGGGATTCAAGTTTATTCAAATGAAGGGCCATGCCTTCTTCCAAGGGGAGATAATTATGAATTCGGGAAAAATTAATGGCATCATTTAAAAATCTTCTTCTAAAGAACCACTATGCATGAAAATATGAAACTTACATGGAAGCATCCTAAGGTAGTGTCGAATCAAGTTTGTTCAAATCATGACCCCCAGGGGTAGGGTTGGGCCACAAAGGGTGATCAAAGTTCAACTTAAGAATACATAGGAAAAAAATCTTCTCAAGAACGGCAAAGCCACGATTGTTCTTATTTAAATGGAAGCATCCTCAGGTAGTGTAGATGCAAGTTTGTTCAAATCATCACCCCCATGGGTAGGGTGGGGCCACAATGGGCGATCAAAGTTTTGCATGGGAATACATAGGAAAAATCTTTAAAAATCTTCTTCTCAAGAACAGCAGAGCCATGATTGTTCATATTTATATGGAAGCATCCTCGGGTTGTTCATATTGATATGGAAGCATCTTCAGGTAGTGTAGATTCAAGTTTGTTCAAATCATGACCCCCAGGGGTAGGTTGGGGCTACAACAGGTGATCAAAGTTTTACATAGGAATATATAGGAAAAATTCTTTAAAAGTCTTCTTCTCAAGAACAGATAGACATGTTTAGTCATATTGATAGGATAGCATCCTCAGTTTTTTTGTTTTTTGTTTTTTTGTTTGTATGTTGTTTAATGTCCCTCTCGAGAATTTTTCACTCATATGGAGACGCCACCACTTGCCAGTGGAGAGCTGCAAATTTTGTCCTATACTCGGCACTTACGGCCATTAAGCAGTGAGGGATCTTTTTCGTGCCAGCACCTACTGTGACACGGGACCTCGATTTATACGGTCTCATCCGAAGGACCGGTCTCCACGTCCCACAGTGGGATTGGAACCCGCGAGGTAAGGATCAACTCCTTACTTCGCGACTATAGAGCAGATGCTCTAACCACTGTGCCACGTGGGCGACAGCATCCTCGGGTAGTGTAAATTCAAGTTTGTTCAAATCATGACCCCCAGGGGTAGGGTGGGGCCACAATGGGTGATCAAAGTTTTACATAGGAGCATCCTCAGGTAATGTAGATTCAAATTTGTTCAAATCACAGCCCCCTCCCCCCACCCCCACCCCCAAAGAATAGAGGGACCAAGAAGGGATCATAGTTATACAAAGAAGATTTCAATAAAAATTTTCTTCTTAAGAACAGCAAAGCCATTATTTGTCATATTAATTCAAAAGCATCCCTATGAAGTATAGATTCAAGTTAGTTCAAATCCCTCCCCCCTCCCCATAGCCACTTTCATATTTAAACTTTTGAAAACTGAACTGATTTCTGCTTTTTCCTAGCCGGAGTGCTCAGGTGAGCGATATGGCCCCAGCATGGGCTTCTTGTTAGTTAATTGTCACAGTTTATATGATAATTGCCATTCCATCGAAGTCTTTCTATCCAAGGGTTTTTTTTTGTTTTTGTTTTTTTTTTGCATGAACTATAATACTTATAACAAAAAATAATTGACCACTCTTAGATTTATTTACATCTTAATGATGCTATAAAGCAGATGACACATGCCTTCCTTGGAACACCCTGTGTAAGATTAAGTTACAACTAAAAAGGTCTTTTCATCTCCCCCTGTCTTTTATTGTCTGAGTCAAAAGGCAACACAAGTTAGTATAATTTCTTCATAAATTTAGTTTTAAAAGCTAAAATATTGGTGTGAAAATTAATTTGAAGTTTTGTCACTGAGACTTTGAAAAGTTTGAATAGAAAGTTTGAATAGATATGTAGTTGCTAGTTTTGAAAATTAAAGTTTCAAAATATTGTGAAAAGAACATGTTTTGAGAAATAAATTTATATACAGTAAATCATAATTCATGAGTACTGAATTTCTGTATTATTTTGGGAGACTGGTTTGACCTAAATATGATGTATATTTTTGTGTCACCTGCAGAGCAGAGCAACACTAAGGAATCACTTTACCCAGCATCTGTCTGTCTGTCGGTCTGTCACACCTTATATTTCGAGAACTGTAAGAGTTATGGACTGGGTATTTTGCACATATATTGCTTGGCACTATGGCTTTTGTAAAATACCATGGTTACCAACCCCATGACCCTTGAACTTGACCTTTTGATCTACTTTTCAAATTGGTTTATAATACTGATATACATCATATTTTTGGCATTTAAGAGATAAGTCTGTGCTATTTAGTGTGTGCACAGTTTGTCATAATGCATTATGAAAAATAAAAGCATTACAATGACCTAATTTTGGAATTTCATAATTGTATCTCAATATTTAGATACTAAGAGGCTTAAAATCATCACATTTTGTCAGTTGATGCATCTTAGGTCAACATAACTGTGTAAAGTAAGTCACAGTGACCTATTATTGGGTTTTCACACTTATTAACTCAATATTTAGGATACTAAGATGCTTAGAACCATCAAAATTATTTAGTTGACTCAAATTGTGTCAACCAAAAAGTAGGTCACAATGATCTAATTTTGGAATAAAACATTTTAAACAAAATATATATTTAAGATGATGAGAAGCTTGGAATGATCCGTCTTTGTCAGTTGATGTATCTTTGGTTCTCAGAATGTGTTAGTCAGAAAAAAATGTCATGGTGACCTACTTTTGAAATTTCAAAGCTTTATCTAAATATTTACGATATTATGAGGCTAAGCACAAGTAATAAAGTTGTACAATTTATCAGAAGAGTGATTCTAGGCCCATGGGGCTCTTGTCTGAATTTTGAGAAGCAGGGTTTTGATAATTAGCATTTATATTGCATGTTTATGAGCTCATGACACTGTACTTTAAAACTGTTTTGTACACAATTACTACACAAGCTGAAATTTCAAAACTATGAAAATACATCAGGATCAGTAATCTAAAATGTATCATTGAGGACTGAAAATTGTAGTAAAAACTGACAAAAAAAAAATTTTGAAGGATTTTTGGAAATGTATTATGAAATGATAAATGATTTCATTATTCATTTTAGTTATGAGGGTAGCGGAATCATATTTCTATTTGATTGTCAGATTCTGTCTTAAAATTTGTGGATTTTTTTTTTTTTTTGGCTATAATTTGCAGGCAAATACATAAACTATAATCCTAGTAGCAAATAAACAGGTAACCACCCTGACTCTTAGATTTATTTTCATCTTTAATGTTGCTAAAAGTAATTTATAGCTTTTTTAGGGGGTGGGTTGAGGGTGGGGAAGATATATTTCATTACCATATATTTTGAAGACTGTGAACAAAACATCTTGATTTTTTTAGGTCACCTGAGTCACTAAGGTGACCTATTGCTATCTGTTTTTGTCCATTGTCCCTTAACATTTGAAGATTTTTAGCTTCTTCTCTTGAACCACTAAACTAATTTCAACCAATTTTGGCATAAAGCATATAAGAGTGAAGGGGAACAAAAATTGTGAATTTTATTGTCCCTGCCACCCTGGGGTAGTGTAGATTCAAATTTGTTCAAATCATGACCCCTGGGGGTAGGGTCGGGCCACTATGGGGGATCAAAGTTTTACATAAGAATATACATGTATAGGAAAAAATCCTTAAAAGTCTTCTTCTCAATAAGAAAAAAGGCATATTTAGTCATATTGATAGGAAAGCATCCTCAGATAGTGTAGATTCAAGTTTGTTCAAATAATGACCCCTGGAGGTAGGGTGGGGCCACAACGGGGAATCATAGATTTACATTGGAATATATAGGAAAAAACTTGAAAAATCTTCTTCTCAAGAACAGCAATTAGCCATGATTAGTTTTATAGCTATGGAAGCATTCGCAGGTAGTGTAGATTCAAATCTGTTCAAAACATGAACCCCAGGGGTAGGGTGGGGCTGCAATGGGGGATCAAAAGTTTTACATAGGAATATACAGGAAAAAACTTTTTAAAACCTTCTTCTCAAGAACAGCAAAGCCATGTTTTGTCATATTGATATGGGAGCATCTTCAGGTAGTGTAGATTCAAATTTGTTCAAATCATAACCCCCCAGGGATAAGGTGGGGCCACAATGGGAGATCAAAGTTTTACATAGGAATATATAGGAAAAAATCTTCTCAAGAACAGAAAAGCTATGTTTAGTCATATTGATATGGAAGCTTCCTCAGGTAGTGTAGATTCAAGTTTGTTCAAATGATGACCCCCCTCCCCACACTCTTGGGGGAGGGGGGTGTAGCGATGGGCCACAATTGGGGATCAAATTTTTAACAAGGGAATATATAGGAAAAAATCTTTAAAAATCTGCTGCTCAAGAACAGCAAAGCCATTTGTTATATTGATATGGAAGCATCCTCAGGTAGTTTAAAATTCAAGCCCCCCACCCCCCACCCCATTTAAACTTTTCAGTACTGAACTGATTTGTGCTTTTTCCTAGCCAATGCCCTTAGGTGAGCGATGTGGCCCTTGGGCCTCTTGTTTATCCCTGTATGTCTGTCTGTCTGGCCGTACAAAATGTCAACTTCCTGTTTATCCATGCATCTGTCCATACCAAATTTCCAGTCGCAGTTTTTTCCAGCAATTTTTCATCACAGATGCTTGATATATTCACATAGAGCATATATTCACATCTGAGTGGGGCATTACTAGTGAGCATTGACTCACAGACTTCTTGTTTTTCTTGTATTTGGTCTAGAATGTAACAATGTGTTCAGCAATCATAGAATTGTAAATAAATAGAGAAAAGTAAAGGAAATCTCAAAGCTTAATATAAGCTTTAAATATATATATTTTGATATAAATGAATCTCTCTTCATGTGTTATCCATTTTCTATTTGCTTTTAGGGACCAGCTCTATGTACATTCAATGATGGTGTCTTCACTGAAAAAGATTGGAAAGGCATTAAAACAATTTATGTCAGCTTGAAAGAAAAAGATGATACCTTTAAGATTGGACGATTTGGAGTTGGGTTCAAATCAGTATTTCATCTTACAGGTACACATTTGTCTCCACAACAAAGTTGTGTAGAGGAAGTAGGTTTAAACTGGAAGTACTCTGTTTATTCTTCTGTTTGCATGCATGTCTGTTTATGTAGAGGCAATGTTAAGGTCAGCTTTTAAATCAGTCCCTCCTATCATCAAGAGGTGTCCACAATAAAAAAAACTTGCATAGATATATATGGAACATTGATGGATACTTTTTGGGATGGATACTCTTGAAGATGTATCTAACCTACATATTGTGTTCCCTTGACTCTGAAAAAGTTAAGACTGAAATGAGATTTGTTCCCAGATTATCATTATTAATATAGAAACAGACTTGTACTTAAAAGTGATACATCTGTGGATTCTATGGGTAAATGCTTCATCTATCTACCGTATTCAAGTGAAGTACATTATACAATACACATACATTAACTGGGTTTGAGAGCGACATGTGTTTTGTCGGACCCAAGAACCAAACTGTTTGTCTGAGGCCATTAGGCCGAAGGCATACAGTTTGGTTTGAGGGGTCAACAAAACCCATTTTGCACGAGAACACAGTCAATAAATGTTTTCTTATACCTTTTATTTACTTATTTATATTTTGTTTGACATACATGTATCTTGTGCTGGCTTCCATCATGCAAATTAGTAAATTACTGCAGTTAAACTCTGTCAATTCCATCAATGTTGAACACCAATGAATGCAAATGAGATTTAACTGGTCCCGCCCACAGTGTGACGCAAGTGGTCCAATATCTCATCAACAGGTCCAATATCTCACTCCATATCAAACATCACTCTTTTTATGACAGCTCAGTAAAACATAGGAAATATTACTAGATGTTTTTTAATATAGATTTTTACAGGAACCAATTTTTGAAGGTTTAACAATTTAGTGTATTCAACTTGTCATAAGGTGTATACAAACCAAACATGCGTCCATGGTGTATCAATCTTAATGTTCTGTCTGATGATGCTAGATTCAGAGGCTACATCTTATGTATGAAATATATAGTCACACCTCATTTATCCAGACACCTGTTTCTGAGCAAATTGTTCAGGTTAATGAATCATCCAGATTAATAAAACATACTTGGTATATATAAGTACAAATTGTTCCCATAAATGCATCTAGAATATTTGCATCTGAATTAATGAGGATTAATGATCCTCCACTGTACTTCATGTGTGATTACAGTGTAGGCATGTTTGTAACTTATACAGTTTTGATATGCATGATCATATTTCAGTTTGTTGCACATGGAAAGAAAGGACTTATGACAATAATGCATTAGTTGTGTATCATAAATAGTATGAATAAAAATAATGCAACCAGATGTTTAACCATATCAAAGGCCTTGGTTCTTAGCAGGAAAAAAAAGAATTTTATTCTTTCATTATATTTTGTTTTATAAACTTTGAACTCAGTAAACGGAATACAGTTTTAGCTCACCTAAGCTGAAAGCTCAAGACTAGTGAGCTTTTCTGATCACATTTTATATGTACGTAATCCACTAGTCCATCTGTCTGTAAACTTTCAACATTTTCACTTTTTCTTTAGAACCACTGAGCCAATTTCAACCAAGCTTGGGTGTAGGGGATTTAAGTTTATGCAAATGAAGGACCATACCCTATTTCAAGGGGAGATAATTAAGAAATAGCAAAAATATAGTGACATCTTTAAAAAATCTTTTCCTCAGGAACCACTGGACAAGAAAAGATGAAACTTATGTGAAAGTTTCATTACATAGTGTAGAATCAATTTTGTTCAAATCATGACACCCAGGGGTAGGAAGGGGCCAAAACAGGAGAACAAAGTTTTACATTGGAATGTATAGGAAAAAATCTTGAGTCTTTACCAAAAGCCACAAAGTCAAGGCCGAAGGCCAGAAAAATTGGCTTGGAATCAGTAAAATTGAAAATCAGATACTGGTAATTAAAAAATTCTTCTCAAGAACAGCAGAGCTCATATAGTTATATTGATATGGAAGATCCCCAGGTAATGTACATTCAAGTTTTTTTAATTCATTACCCCCAGGGGTAGGGTGGGGCCAAATAGGAGATCAAGGTTATAGATAGGAATACATAGAAAACTAAAAATTTCTTTCTCAAGGTCAGCAGAGCTATCATTATAGTAATATCAATATGGAAGCATCTTTAGGTGGTGTAGATTGAATTTTTTTTTTTAAATTGTAGACTCCCCCCTTCAGGGGTTGAGTGGGGCTACAATATGAGATCAAAATTTTACTCAAAATATAAAGGGAGAATTCTTTAAAAATCTTCTTTTTATAAACAGCAAAGCCATGATTAGTCATATTGATGTAATAAAAGCATCCTCAGGTAGTGTAGATTTCAATTTTGTTCAATTCAAGACCTCAAGGGAATAGGGTGGGGCCACAATATGAGATTAAAGTTTTCATAAGAATATATGGGAGGAAAAATCTACTAATGATAGAAGAACAGCAGGGCCATCGTGACTCAGATGAGCATTGTGGTCTAAAGGGCCTTTTGTTTTTGTCATGGGGCAAGGCATTCATGCCCTAAGAACATATTTCTAGTTTAGCTAGGTCACAAGTAAGTAAGTAAAACAGTGCTAAAGAAATGCAAAAATCTAGCGACAATGATGGCTCATATTTTAGAATATTCATAGAAAAAGTTACAGAAATATAGAAGGTGAAGATAACAAACGGTAATCAGTTTCATAAATCCAGTAAAGAAATCAACTCAAAAACATGAACCCCTGGTATCTTCAGAGATCTGAAGTCAGGGATTTAATGCCTAGGATGATCAGTAAGCTAAGTTGCTAGACAAAATACAACCTAATGATAGGTATGATACTAAACGATATTAAGTTGACAGTTTAGAACCATGGGAATTTTTTTTTTTGTTCTTGGGGCTCTTGTGTGACTTACATGTAGATATTTCATCTTAACTTTTTCCACTAATTTATAGATACACCTGTCATTATAAGTGGAGATCGGCTGTTGATTATTGACCCAACCAGTACCCCAGAAAGGGTTTGCCACAATGTCACCTTCAAGAAGCTTACCTCAAGGTACAGAAACACCCTATGGCCAGTACTGAGGAAGGTCCTCAATTTGGACAAAGGAGGCATTTTTGGATTCAATACATCTAATGTGAAGGAAGAACATTTTCCAAGTATGTCAGAAAAGATTTTTATGCCCCCGTATCGAAGATTCGGGGGTATATAGTTTTTGCCCTGTCCAACCATCTGTCTATCTGTTTGTCCGCAAAAACTTTAACCTTGCCCATAACTTTTGATTGGTTGGAGCTATGGTTTTCAAATTTCACATGTGTATTCCTTGTGATAAGACCTTTCTTTGGGTACCACCATATTTGACCTTTTGACCTTGAACTTGGAGTTTGACCCAGTTTTGCAAAATTTTATGAGACTTTAACCTTGGCCATACCTTTTGAACAATTAGAGCTTTCATATTTCACATGTATAATCCTTGTGATAAGACATTCCTTTGGATACCAACAACTTTGACCTTTTGACCTTGACCTAGGAGTTTGACCTACTTTTGAAAAACTTTAACCTTGGCTATAACTTTTGAACGGTTGATGCTAGGGCTTTCATACTTCACATGTGTAATCCTTGTGACAAGCCCTTCCTTTGGATACCAACAACTTTGACCCTTTGACCTTGACCTTGGAGTTTGACCTACTTTTGAAAAACTTAAACCTTGGCCATAACTTTTGAACGGTTGGTGCTAGGGCTTTGATACTTCACATATGTAATTCTTGTGACAAGACCTTTCTTTGGATCTACTTTTGAAAAACTTAAACCTTGGTCATAACTTTTGAACGATTGGTGCTATTTCACCTGTGTATTTCTTGGGAAAAGACCTTTCCTTGGTCACCATTAATTGTGAATTTGACCTTGACCTTGATGTTTGACATACTTTTGAAAAAACTTTAACCTTTTCCATATCTATTCAATGGTTGCTGGTAGGCTTTCATATTTCACAGGTTTATTCTTCAAGAAAAAACCTAACTTTGGGTACCAACATATTTGATTTGCATTTGAGAAGGTTTAACCTTTGCTATAAGTTGGCATAAGGGGGCATCAGTGTTTCACAAACACATCTTGTTTTGAATTGCCTCACACTCGTGAAAATATCAAAAAATCCTGTCCCACTCATGAAATAAATTCCATATTCATCTACAAAATATTAAATTTTCTGTTTAGTACATTTTCTTAGATTTTTCCTTTGCCTCTGTCTTCTCATAACACAGTGTCATAGGGTGTGATGTCATAGTTGAGAGGTTGAGACGTCATAGCTATAAGCGATTGCAAGATTGAAAAACATTGTAAACCTTTATTTTAAATGACATGTTTGGAAAACCTTTACAGTTTAACTATCTGTTAGGATGGCTCATTAACTCTATCTTATAACAGGCCAGGGAATTTTTTTTAAGAAACATTCTTCGTGAAGAGAAGGAAAATTGTAAGTTTTGCCACATTTCTGTTATTCTCACACTGTGAGAATACCATTTTGATATCCTTTCACACTGTGTCAGAATATTACTTTTTATTCAGTAAATAAATTACGGTATTTCACTGTTGAAAATGTAATAAAATTCTCATTTTTAAGGGCAATTTTTCATAAGGTCATTTTTTTAAATTGTTTATTTGTTTAGACTTTTTTCCAAAAAAAAGAGTTATTTTTAAAAAAAAAAAACCATTAAAAGACACATTTTCTTATTAGAATTTAACCCCCCTTCCCCCCCCCCCCCCCCTTTCCAAAAAAAATTATGAGTTAGTAAAATTTTATGTTTATAAAGCTAACTTAAATTGAACTGACAAGCTGTATTCTTAATATTAATTTTTCCCAAAAAAGTGTTTAACACAATTTTAATATCGAATTTACTGACTGTAAAGGATTATATTCTGTAGTGGCCAGTATCTGCCCCCAAAATAAAACTTTGATGGAGAAATCTTTAATTATGTTCTAAACCAGTAGGATATTTGCAGACTTCAAAGCATTAAATATTTTTATCAACTATGACATCATTAGTTAGATATGACGTCAATAAAATGACGTAAATTCCAAATTGCAATGATTTTGAGAGAAAATAGTGTATTTTACGTCGGTATTTTGATTGGAAATTATCGAGCGCAGGTCTGCTCAGACTAGATCTTTTGATATAATGTGTAGAATGATAATATCAATGACATATGTGAATATGGTACCTGAGCAAGCTTGCGCTCTATAAATACTATAGTCAAATTTGAACAAACTCTGTGCATTTTGGCCTCTATTTTAAAAATAAGGGAAATCCAAATAGTTTGTGATGTCACAGAGACAAGAAAAGCCAACTAATTTTTCCAATTTCATAATATATTGTCTTAATTTGGATTATTTTATACAATATATGCACTTTTGCTCATTTCAAGAGATTTTCAAAATTTGACTATTATGGGGGCCGGAATACGCCCTTACCGTATATAGTTCTTTACAGATTTTTTGTGCAGTGATGCATAACTTTTCTCATCAGTCATCCGTGTGAATTCACGAGATTTTCAAGCCACATGTATTGCATGTACAAGCGGTAATTATGGTTTATACTTAGAATTAAATTTTCTAGGTATGAAAAGCTGCATATCATGACATATACACCCCAGACTCCTTGAAATTAATATACAGTGAGTTTGTTTACACACACAACTGAAAATCAAAGTATTCAGTGAGAATTATACTTGACAAGATGTGATAAATTTATATCAATTTCTTGAACACACTTTAAAGCTAGTACACTGGTAAAGAGAGTTATTTGTACAGTGAATTGTTTCAAAACTAGAAATCTATCGCAATAACTGAAATCTATTGTGTATGAGTGCTAATTTGCATCAATTTTTTTTTTGTCTTGGACACTTGCAAGATCAAATTATTAAACAAATTCAGTTTTTTATACATATAAACAAAAACCAATATTAATTTTTTTTAATACAAAAATAATCCATGTTCAGTAAAATTTTGATATAAACTATATTTGTGCATACTGTAATATTTTATTACTTGAAGGGTGCTGATTAAAACTTAACTCATCAATTATTCGGTAAGTCAACACACACAGGTAAACACCTAATTACAGATCACTAACGGTCATGTCATTGTTTTCATAGCAATTCACACTTGTCGATATGTCCAAAGTCAATTGACTGGATTAATGAAGCCATTTTCATTGAAAAATAATGCTTCATTGTAAAAATCGGCCATCTGGATCCGGAATGCAAATTTCCAGATTATTGAGACAAAATAATGTTAGAAAAATCAGTTCCCCCAAAAAATCGTTCGAATTATCAGCATACGGATAAATGAGGCTTCTCTGTATATCTATTATTTAGTTGTCTCCTTAAGCAGAGGCCCCTTTTTATGTATGAAAGACATAAACAATGTGTTTTGAGTGCTGAATGAATGGCACTATCTACAGAATGGGAGTTTATTAAATATGTTTTGAATTTCTTGACAGATACTTTGTTTTGGTTCCCTTTGAGAAAAGCACCATCCACCCTCCTGGAAAAGATTTACCTTCCCTCAAGAATGATGGAACTGATAGAATCATTCAGAAGAGAGGCAGACACAACTCTGCTGTTTCTTCGATACATCAGCTCAATCACAATAATGGAAAACAGGGACAGTGTATTGTATAAAGTGACTATAGAGGGAACTGATGATTCAAAAGACAATTTCTCTGACTTACGCAAATATACAAGAGATTGGTTAAAGTACGCAAATTCAAAACCAGAAGATTCCCAAAGTATTGCATACAATGCCCTGGTAATCACCAAGAATGGAAAAGAGGATTCAGCAAAGAAAGCAGTGTTCAAAATTGTCAATTTTTACCAAGGCACAAAGGAAATGTCCCAAGGTCTCAAAGAATTGTCAGAAGATGGAGATAATGCACCATTTGTTGGAGTAGCATATCCTCTACAGATGGAGGAATCATTTAATGCTCATGTGTTCTGTTTTCTGCCTTTGCCTTTTCAGTCCAGTAGTTTGACCAATCTGCCTGTACATGTGAACGGGTTTTTTAACCTGGATCCAGCACGAGATCATGTTTTACATGCCACAGCAGGGCAGGTTGGAAAGAGAGATAAAAACATAGAATGGAATGAGCGACTGATTAAAGAAGTAATATCTCAAGCGTATATAAAGCTGATCGAGGATCTTCTCAAGGAAGGTAGTCCACGAGAGATTGTCTATCGCTGTTTACCTGATGTTCAGAAAGTTGATAGTGCATTGTGGAAACTCCTCCTTCAGCCTGTCATGGAAAGTGTCCTACGAATGAATATCTTCCAGACTGAGAAGCAGGAGAAAACTTGGGTTAGTTTTGAACAGGCTGTATTTGATGTTTTTGTTGACAGAGAAAGAGAAGTAGCAGAGAAAACAAAGGATGTAGTGATAGAATTGATCAAAGAGTACAGTGAAAACTTAGTCATATTGCCAAAGCATTTGAGAATTTTAGTGGAGTCACATACAGAGTACAGATTTCTACCTGAAATCCAGCCAAAGGTTATTAACACAGAATATGTAGCCAATCTTTTGCTCAAAGATCACAGATATAAAGAGAAGAATAGATCCACCAAAGTAGTACTTCTGGGTTACTTCTTAGAATACGGTCATCAAGAAGTATGGAAACAACTGGAACTGTTGCCAACAAATGACAAGACCCACTTTATGTCTCTAATATCCAAAAGAACACTGTATTTGTGCTCAGAAAGCGAAGCTGACTTATTCCCAGAGTTAGAAAAACAATTGCTGTCTGATTTGAGAGAAGACATGAAAGCCAAATTGATGACAATTCAAATTCATACAAGTAGGTGATGATTAGGCAAGTACTTGTTAGCTCTTCTGAATCAAAGGCTCATAGAGCTAATGCTGTCAACATTTGTGTGGTGTGTGTCAACTTTTCAGAATATGCGCCATATCTCAAAACCCCCAATTTTTGTCAATTCGTCATAGAGTATCCTTGGGCCAAGGGCTCTCTTTTATACTAAAAGTAGGAATGTGACCCTTAAACAAGGGGAGATAATTAGGGAAATAAAAACAAGATTATCACCAAACTTGCACACATGAATGAGGATATGTTGTAGATTAAAACTTTTTCAAGGCATCACACTAAGGCAAAAGGTGTGGTCTCAAGGTCACTTCTAAGTTGACCAAAATTTATGTTTTATTAAAACTTTGATAGTTTGCCTACTCTAAGGCCTGGGATCATCAAATCTTATCAGTTGATGCATCTTAGGACCTCATATCATGTTGACTTAAAAGTAGGTCATGGTGACCTACTTTTTAAAAATTTTGCAGGTATTCATTTTCAGTTTGATTTTGATGCATAACTTGGACACTTTGAAGCCTATGATCATCAAAACTTGCCAATTTATGCATCATGGGGCCGTAAAATGTGTCAACCCAAAAGTAGGTCACCATGACATACTTTCTGAATTTTATAGCTAATCATTTTCTAAACATTTAAGGTTGGATACTAAGAGGTTTAGAATCATCAGACATTGTAAGTTGATGCACCTTGGGGCTTTAACAATATTTATCAAAGAGTAGGTCACAGTGAACTACTTTTTTGAATTTTGCAGGTATTCATTTTCAAATTGGTTAAGAGGCATATTTTGAACACTTTGAAGCCTAGGATCATCAAACTTTGTAAGTTGATGCATAATGGATCCTCATAGTGTGTCAACCAAAAAGTAGGTCACTGACCTACTTTTGGAATTTCATGGTTATATTTCAATATTTCAGATACTACTTGGCTTAGAATCATCAAACTTTGTCAGTTGATGCATCTTGGGTCCTGGGATTTGTCAACCAAAAAGTAGGTCACTATGATCTACTTTTGGATTTTCATAGCTATATTTAAATATTACAGATACTAATTGGCTTAGAATAATAAAAAAAAATTGTCAGTTGATGGAACTTGGGTTCTGGGAGTGTGTTAACAAAAAGTAGGTCCTACTGACCTACTTTTGGAATTTTATGGCTATATTTCAATATTTCAGATACTAATTAGCTTAGAACCATCAAAATTTGTCAGGTGTTGGATCTTGGATCCTCAGAATGTGTCAACTAAAAAGAAGGTCACTGTGACCTACTTTAGGAATGATAAGGCAATACCTATGTGTAAATATTTCAAATAATAAGAGACTTAGAATCATCAAACTTTGTCAGTTGATGCATTTTGGGTCCTTGGAGTATTTCAACCAATAAAACGTGTTAACCAAAATGTAGGTCATGCTGATGTACTTTTCGAATTCAAAGATTTATCTTAATATATAGGATACTAAGAGGCTTAATTAAGATAGAAGTGATAAGTTGTACAATTTATTTGAAGAGCAGTTCTAGGCCCTTGAGCCTGTTGTTTATTTTTCTATCATTGGTTACATTTTCAAAAGCGCCCAAATGCCTGTCTCTTTCTTTTTTATGCCCCAGCCATAAAATGGCCGGGGCATATAGTGTTACCCTGTTCTGGCATTCAGTCATCATTCCATTTCCGTTCATTATATCTGCAACAATTGCACACATTCAACTCAAATTTGACACAGATACATCTTAGGAATACGCAGGTCAAGTTTAAATTTAGTCATGGTCTGATGATTTTTGACAGAGTTATCCCTCTTGAACTTAGGAAAAAATATGAAATTTTCATTTTCTGCTCTCTAACTTTTGTAAGAATGTATGTATAAGATTGAAATTGCATATGCAGGTATTTTACCAGAAAATACAGGTCAAGTTCAAATTTGGTCATGGTCCGATGATTTTTGACAGAGTTATCCCTCTTGAACTTAGGAAAAAATAAGAAAATTATTGGTTTCCACTCTCGAACTTTAGAAGTGAGGTACCATAAATCTGGAAATTTTTACGTTGATTTATTTTTGCGAATCTGGGTCAAAAAGGTGTTGGTAAATTTTTACTTTTTAAAATTTTGCGAATTGTCATTGGTGCTTAAAATGAAAAGGGCTTAATATTTTCATAACAGTTTATAAGTTACGTATGTGCATACAATGAGTTACGCACGTACATACAAACTCCTTTCTTTCGTTAACATTGTTAGATAAAACAGCTGGCCTCTCTTTCTTGGAGAAATAATTTAAGAAGAAATACTGCCTGTCAAAAACCATCAGATGATATTGAATGTAGTTAAGGCACGGATTATCATGGGTAACTAGCTTGTAGTATAAACAGATTGCTTAAAACGACCACTGCTTATGAATACCTGTTCACCGAGTTAAAAATACACACCAGCTATCAGTAAAATTTTTGTTTATATTTTTTGTTGTTGATATATTTTTAAGAAAAATATTTTTGTGAATGCAATGCACGCGCAAATTTGCTAAAAATTTATCTACAGTAAAAATTTCCAGATTTACGGTATGTATAAGGTTGAAATTGCAGTTGCATGTATTTTACCAGAAAACAGATTTCAAATTTGAATTTTGTCGTGGTCCGATGATTTTTGACAGAGTTATCCCTCTTGAACTTAAGAAATTTTTATGAAATTTTAAGAAATTTTCAGTTTCTGCTCTCTGTCTTTTGTAGGGATGTATGTAAAATGTTGAAATTGCATATGGAGGTATTTTACCAAAAAATAAGAGTCAAGTTTGAATACAAATTTAAATATAAATATTTGGAATTTGATATTTTGGCTGCTTGCGGGGGCATTCGTGGCAATAACGACACATCTAGTATAAATGAATATACACACACTTTGCAGTCTTTCTTTTTTTTATCAGAGTTTTTAAAGAAATGGAGTCCCAAAGATTTTTCACAACTACTGAAAGCATCTGTGGAAGCACAAGGAATTGTGTCATCCACTCAACTTGACAACACAAATAGGCAAACTGTGTCAACTTGGATCAAAAGAGTTTGGTCTTTTTTGTCTGAAAATCAAGATTTGATCCCAAAAGTCGAAACACTTCCAATTCTACCAGAACCAAGGAATGGAAAATCAGCTATTCAATGTTTGCATTCTTTGAAGGGAGACCATATGCTTACACAGTCACAGGGCTTGACTCCACTTCCTGGTGAGGTGAAAGAAGTTCTGAAAATTTGTGGTGTAAGATTATTGGAAGCAGTGTCATTTGTCCCAGACGAAATTGTGACAAAATATATTGCATATCCAACAGCAGAAGATGTTTGTAATGTTTTGGAAAAAGCTTTTAAAAAAAATGAAAGCTATATTGGTAAGATCAATCAACTACCAGTGAACACAAGGAAACATTTGGCTGTATTCTTGGGAAAAAGCAGCTTAAAGAAAATGACAGATTCCTTAAAGATATTTTTAAGGAGATTGAAATTATTTCCAGTTCATAATTCACACAAAGCAGGTGCTGACCTTTATTCAGTGATGGAAGTTACAGACATTGTCCCCCAATCATTGAAGAATTTCCCAGTCAAATACCCAACTCTGCTGATTGATGGAAGTTTTCAAGGTCTTTTTCTGGCCTATTGTTTGGGGTGCTGGGAATTAGAAGAACAAAGACTGATGGAGAAGACCCTGTATGCAATTTCAAATCATGAAATATACCAACCAGATGAAGTTGCTTTGTTTATGAATTATTTTTTGAAGAGACTTGATGAATCTACTTCTGGAAAGCAGTTAGAAATAGCTTCCAGTATACCATTTGTTGAAACTGGAAATAGTGAATTGAAAGCTCCAAAAGACTTATTTAATCCATCTGATGGTGAATTGCGTGAACTTTTTCAAGGTGAGGAAAAAAGCCGTTTTCCCAACAATTCTGTAGACTGTTGGAAGTTGCAAAAATTGAAGATGAAAACCTCAGCAGATATTACTGCAGAAGATATATTGGAGACAGTCACATTTATGGAGGCAACTGAGGCAAAATTAGACTGTGCCAAACGTAAAAGGAAGGCAAATGCTGTCCTCAAGTTCATTGGTAACCTGCAGCATCATTTTGAATTTAACAAGTTCATTGAGGAAGTGAAGCAAAAGTGTTGGATGCCAGTGATGAGAAAGAGACCAGGCAGATATCCGAAGCAAATGGATTGGAAGGGTGAAGAAAGGAAGGTATGCAGACCCATTGATGCGTGCTCTCAAGAAAACAGCTCAGTTGTTGGCTCTGTATGTTTTATTTCTGATTGTGATCAAACCCAAGAGGTGTTACAGTGGTTACTACAGACCCCAAACACAGATCTAGCTATTCAACAGTTAAAACATTTGTCAGAGAAGTACAAAGACTTAAAGCAACCTTTGGAGTATGAATGGATGCTGAAAGAGTTGTTTGATTTTCTGGCACCCAAGGCCATAAACCCTGCTGAATCGAAACAACTAGACATTGTTCCAACTAAGTTATCATTCACAAAGAGCTCAAATGTATACATAGAGTTTTTGAGTGATACTTTCCAAATACAATTAGAGCCTTACATGTATCAACTGAGTGAATGCTGGACAGTTAAGGCTGAAATGAGAAACTTCTTTATTCACATAGGCTGCAAAGAGTGTTTGACCACTGAAGATCTCATACTGGTTCAGGAAAAGATCAGAGACTACCACAACTGTATTGATAGCCCCCGAGAAAGCACTGAGATCATAAGAGATTTGCATATTTTGATTGATATCTTGAACATTTCAAAAGAAAATTGTGAAAAGTTGTCTCAAAAACAACTGTCTCGTATCCTATTTCCAGTTCAGACAAAAATAGAGCAACTGGTTCTGAAACCAGCCCAAGAGTGTACCTACACAGATGACAAACACATCGAATTTCTGGACTTAGAAGGAAATGGCAAAGAAGATGCAAATGAGGAGCTTCACTTTGTACATGAAATGGTCAGGGAGTCTGTTGCCGAGTGCCTTGGTGTTTCATCCTTGACACGCAGAGTTATGGAGAGTGGAGGGATTGAAGATTTGGAATTTGAACAATGGGGGCAAGAAGAACCACTTACCACAAGGATTAGAAATCTTTTGGAGGAGTATACTGATGGACTTTCTGTGTTCAAGGAAATGCTACAAAATGCTGATGATGCAGGAGCAAGTTGTATGAAGATACTATTTGATGAAAGGCAGAATGTACAGGCAAGAACTGGTTTGATTGACAAAGGTATGGAAGAGTGTCAGGGACCTGCCCTTTGGTTCTACAATGATGCTAAATTTGAAGATAAGGATTTTCAGAATATCATTAAACTTGGAGGTGGAACCAAAAAATTGGAGAACACAAAGATTGGAAAATTTGGATTAGGATTCTGTTCTGTGTATAACATCACAGATGTCCCTAGCATCGTCAGTGGAAAGTACATTGTTTTCTTTGATCCAAGAACTATACATCTTGGAAAAGCTATAAAGGACAAATCAAAACCTGGTCTTCGCATTCCCATTTCAAAGGTGGTGAGCAAATTCAAAAAGCAGTTCATGCCTTATAATAAAATTTTCAATTGTGATCTTTCAGCAGAGAGAAATCAAGAGGAATATGATGGCACTCTCTTCAGACTTCCATTGCGTACATCTACACAGGCCAAAGACGAAACCAACAGCATATCCTCAGAAGAGTACAGACATGGAGATGTTGTGTCTATCATTAAGAAATTCATGGAATCTGCTGGCAATCTGTTGCTGTTTACACAAAATGTTGAGAAGATTGAACTGTACTCTCTTCAGTCTGATGACCCTGAAAGATGTTGCCTGTTATACTTGGTTGAAAGGAGTGGAGAATTACAATGTACAAACCTTCTTGAAAAGGCCAAAGCTTTAGTAACAGTGGGAGAAAAGAGATATGTGGAGACTTTTAATATTGGCATCAATGTACAAGTGAACAGCAGTGGTGTTGAAAAGTTCTTTGGAAGAGATTATGAACATACCATGACTGGATCAGTTTCTAACTGGATGGTGTCTTGGGCTGTATCAGATATTGAACAAGAACTGAAGGGGTCACTTCCAGTAGCCAGTACAGCTATTCCTCTCTCTTTCTCACTTGACAGAAATCAAAGTAATGCCCCTTATGGATTCTACAATACTGGACATGTGTTCTGCTTCCTTCCACTTCCACAAGAAAGCCAAACTTTAGCTCATCTCAATGGCTGTTTTGCAGTAGAACAGAGTAGAAAAAGAATTGTGTCTCCATCCAAAGATGTAACCGAAAGAGAAAAGCGAGCAGATTGGAACCAATCATTGATGTCAACAGCACTGAGCACAGCATACATAAACATGCTTGAAAACATCCAAAGCTCCAATGTATCAGCAGAGTATTCAGCAGTGTGGCCTGTATCTTTTGAAGGAAATCCCTTCAACCCTTTGGTATCTGCATTCTATAAAGATGTTTCGCAGAGTGAATGCAAAGTATTTTATCAAGATGGAAATCCATTTGAAAAGGTCTCTCTTGGTGAATGTGTCTTTCTGGATTTTACTTTGCAAGATGATCCAGATGTGGGAAAAACTGCTTTCCAGTGTCTGAAGCAGTTTAATCCTTTTGGAAGGCAAGTGATGCACATGCCTCTTGATATACAAAATGAATTTAAGGAGGCTGGCTGTGAGAGTTACTTGGACAAACAAATCTGCAGTGAAGAGAATTTTTTCACATCTGTTTTCCTTGTAAATCTTCAGGACAAATTTTGGAACTCTGACAAAAGAAAAGAAGTACGCAGCTGTCTTCTGAGGCGCATTCTCAAGAGTGGAAATGGAAAAGTCCTAGAGAAAATGAAAGAAATTAAATGCATTCCAACAAAGCCAGAAGGATTACTTAGAAAACCTTCGGATTTAATTGACCCATCTTCAGATTTGCATGAAATTTTCTGTGTTTCTGACAACAGATTTCCTAAAGATGAATTCATGTTGTCAGATGTTGTCAAACAGGCCCTGGTGGACCTTGGAATGAATGCAAACCATTTGCCTGATGAAATGCTTCTTGAAAGAGTGCATAGCATACATGTTTGTGCACAGGATGATTCTGATTTAGCAAGAAAGAGGTGCATAGCAATTCTGAAATATATCATACGAATCAATCCGTCACAAAGTGTACTTGAGAAAATCAAGGGGATTCCGTTTCTACCAGTGATGAAAGAACCAAGTGATTGGCCATGCCAGTGGGGTTCCAGCCAAGACTGTCAATTTGCAGCTCCTGACAAGTTGTTCAGGATGAACTGTAAGTACTTGATTGGAAACGTACAGAAAATTTTGGACGAAAACATCATACAGGAATCAGGGTATGACTTATTTAGAAATCTTTCCATGAAGTCTTCAGAAGATGTGGAGCAAGACCTTGTAATTTGCCAGCTTAAAACTGTTTCAGAATTGGGACATAATGTACCAAGTTCAACAGAAAATAATTTGAGAAGAATATGTGAAGCTGTGTATGAATATTTGAACAACTGTGTTTCATTAGAAGACTTGAAAAGTTTCCAGACTTTGCCTTGTATACTTACACAGTCCTGTGAGTTGGTGGAACCACGCCGTACTTCACTTTGCATCACAGATGATGTTTCTCCTTATATTTACAAAATTGATAGTAAATGGTCTGACTATGAAAATTTCTTGCTGAGTGTTGGTGTTCATCAGTTTGTGGAATCAGATTTCATTGTAAACATTTTAGAAAGCATTGAGATGGTAGAAGGGGAAGCTGTGGAAAATCTAAATGCTGTTGTCAAACTGTTCAATTTTTTAGATGGCAGCAGACTTGTGAAAGAGTTCCTTCTGCCTGACCAGAAGGGAATAATGAGAAAACCAAAGGATTTGTGTTTTGAGGATGGAAATGACAAAATAAATGACAGAAACCTAATATTCACTCATGCAGATCTAAGAATTACAGTGTGCAAGAAATTCAGTGTGCAGTCTAAAAGTGCAAAGTACATCAGAAAATTTTCCTCTGGTATGCCCTTTGGACAAAAAGAAAAACTTGTCACGAGACTTCACAATATTTTGGAGGATTATCCGTGTGACATATCAATACTAAATGAACTTCTGCAAAATGCTGATGATGCTGGAGCAACAGAAATACACTTTGTGTATGACAAACGAAACCATCCTGAAGAGGGATTATTTGATGAATCCATGAAAAGCATTCAAGGACCAGCTCTTGTTGTCTTCAATGATTCTAGTTTCTCAGAAAAAGATATCGAGGGAATATCAAAACTTGGAGAGGGGAGTAAATCTGATGATCCCAATAAAACTGGCCAGTTTGGAATAGGATTTAATGCTGTTTACCACATCACTGATGCTCCATCATTCTTGTCAAAAGGAGAGAAAACCCCAAATGGTGGAACCTTGATTATGTTTGATCCACATTGCAGATATGTTCCAGATGCAACTCCAGAAAGCCCTGGACTTAGAGTTGATGATCTCAGTTGTGTAAAAGAGACCTATTCAGGAACCTACAAAACCTATCTGCAGGATATTCTCCCAGCATCTTCAGGAACCTGGTTCCGTTTCCCCCTACGCCCACAAGAAGTAGCAGACAAGTCAGAAATCACAAAAGAAGAGGTCAATGATGAAAGAATGTCTAATATTTTAGGGGCATTTGAAAAGGAAATGTCTAAATCCCTGCTTTTCTTGAACAATGTGAGATGTATTAAGTTGTCAGAGATAGAAGATGAACAGATTTCAACTAGATGTGAAGTAAGTGCTGCATTTGTTCATGAAAAGGATTCTTCTGACATGAGATTATTTCAGTCAAAATGTATGGAAGAGTTGCTGTCATTGAAAAAGGGACAACAAATTCTTGGTGAGCAGTGTGGATTTTCTTGTAATTATTGCATTGACGTCAAAGGGAAAGCTGAAGGCAGAAAATGGAATGAAACCTGGGCTGTATCAAGAGTGTTTGGGACAATGACAAAGAATTCCTTGACAGATGAGTTGAGATTCGGTTACAAGACAAAGACAGTAAATCTTTCACCAAGAGCTGGTATTGCAGCATGTTTGACACAAGAGTCTATCAGTGATTCCATAGAGATGGAAACAAGTGTTGTGGAAGTCTCCTGTGAATGTGATAGTGATTCAGCAGAGTTGGCAACAAACTCACCAGAAAATTTGGAGACCTTGAGGGCATTTTGTTTTTTGCCTTTACAATGTAGCACTGGCCTACCAGTCCATATCAATGGACACTTTGCTCTGAATTCAAGCAGAACAAATATTTGGAGAGATGATGGAAAAGACCAACACACTGTAAAAGGCTCATGGAATGAATTGATATTAAGTGAAATCTTACCATTTGCATATATCACCTCTTTGCAGTTCCTCAAGGAAATCCTATTTCCTGGGTTGCAGGGCATTCATGCTGACAATATTGATGTGTACAACAGTTTTTTTCCAGTCATTGACAGAATAAAAGATGATATATGGAAAACAGTGGCCAAAGTGCTTTATCATAAAGTGGTCGTGTATGACATTGCTCTGTTTCCTGTCCTGTTAGATGATGAAACAATTACATCAATGAGGGACACAGATTTCATTCTCGCCAGAGAAACTATTACAGACCAGGGAAAATCAGCAATTGCTTTTGTGCCTCTAAAAAGCCAGGAGCAGAGATTCCCTGCATATTTTAACCAGCTGGAAGAGCAGTTGACAATTGAAACTAAAGAGCTTGCAGATGGTAACAGGTATGAGTCTGAGGATTCCCACTTGGAGAAGATCCAAATGCTTAAAAAAAGAAGTGCAGAAATTACAAAAATCTTTAAGATGCTTGGTCTTAAACTCCTGAATTCAACATATGAGATACTCCAAAGCATTAAAATGTCCATTGCATCTTGTGAAGACACTGGATTTATTCCTAAAGCAATAGAAGCTCCTGATGTGCTTCAGTATTTGCTATCATGGAACAGTGACTATAAAGACAAATGTAGAATAGACTCTGTAGATGTGAACATTCAATCGTCAGTACTGAAAGATGTGACAAATGTTCAGACTTTGTTGTCTTATTGCTTTAAAAATGGAGAACACATCAGTCACCTTGAGGGAATTCCATTATGTGTTTTGGAAAGTGGGATATTGACCTGTTTTTCTGGGTCATCACCAAAAATAGTCTCTGAATTTTGTCATTTGCTGAAAGATTCAAAGAATGCCTTTTTGAATATTGCACTAGTTCCTGTTTTCGAAAAAAGGCTCCAAAATAGTCCATGTATCCAGAGACTGACTATAGCTCGCTTTGCAGAACTTTTGAAAGATAATATCAATGGTTACTACAAGAGTGAGGATCCAGTGTCATGGAATCTTGGTGATTTAGAAGAGCCATGGATTAAAGAGGTGTGGACATTCCTTGCTTCAACAAACAACAGCAAAAAAGAGGTAGCCAAAGACTGCATCCACTATCTCTCTGAATGGTGCCTAGTTCCCACTCAAAACAGAACAGGAGAATATTATTTATATCCTTTCTGCTTGGCTGATGCTGTTTTGAGTACCAACTTCGAATGGAAAGATGGAACAATGTCACAAGTTATGCCAAGCATAGATTTTCCAAGATTACTGAAGCTAGAGTCATTTAAATGCAAGGGACTTGCAAATTACATATGTGCTTCTGAGTCAACACCTCACAATGTTCTGAGATTGTTTCAGTATCACAGAAGAAGGTATTGTGATTGCATATCCACAACCCTTGCAAGTCAAGTTTTAAAGTTTCTTTTGGCTAAGCTGCATTCTGAAGTAAAGGAAAAAGATGGGAAAATTCTGGCTCACTTCCAAGACACTTGTTTATTTGAAACTCTTGATGGATTGGTGACCAATTTACCTTTAGAAAGGAAAACAATTTGTTTGAAAGATGAGGACAATTTTCCACAAGATAATTTACCTATGATGTGTGAATGTTTGGGAATTACTCTCCTCAGAAGGAAAGATTTCCTGGAAGATTTTGGAATTGATTTTTTGATACAGGAAGACTTCTATGTCCATATTTTCCTACCCAAGGCAAAATATTTAGACAACCCTATCATCAGGACTCATATGGAACACATCAAAAATACAAAAATGTATTCAGGAGAGAGATCAGAAATGATGAGAGACTTGATTTGGGGCATAGCATGGATAGAAAATGAAGAAACAGGAGCACATCAGAGAGTTTGCAACTTCTATTCACCATATTTAGAGGTTTGTTATCTTTTTTGCTCACAGACTGATTTATTACCTGCAGAGTTCCATGATTCAGAATGGGAAGATTTTATGGAATTTGCTGGGATCAAGAAAGACGTACCATTTGAGATGTTGCTGGAATTTGGTAGTCAGATTGAAAACTCAACTAGCTTTGATGAGCTTGTTAAAAGAAAGTCTAGGGTTCTTTTGAATTACATATTCCAAGAAAAAAAACTAAAATATGAATTTTCAGCTTTCATGAGAAAGTTCAGGAAAATTAATTGTGTGCTTCCTTTTGAAATCCCAGAAACACATGCAGAAATTCTACCTCAGTGTGGGAATGATAGATTTGTTTGTTTTGAAGGATCAGTATTGTCAAAAGGATGGGAACTTATTTGGTCACAGTGCATTGTTGTTCCTGAGAAAATAGTTGGAAAAGTAGATAAAGACATTCTGGGGATCAGAAAGGTTCCTAACGTCAATGATGTGATTAATCATATTCACAAACTTTGTGCTAAATTAAAAACTGATAAGTGCACAGAGAAATCATTGAAACTTGAATTGATGGAATGTGTTTATACAGAGTTAAACAGATTGTTGTCCTCTTCTCCAAGACCAAATTTTCTCATACAGAAGCTGAAGACGGGACTTACTGAAACACCATTCATCTATAATAACTGTACAGATGAATTCGTCTGTCCATATGAAGTTGCTTTGCGTCTTGACACAAAAAAGTGTATAGGGGGTTACCTCTATAGTGGACCTGAAAGATTTGGCAAATTTTATGAAATGTTTAGACAGATTGGTGTTGAGGATCATCCAGGATTTTACCACTACTTGCGTTTGTTTAACTTGCTGTATAGAAAAATATCTTCAAAGTCAATGGCACCAGAAGAGATTCAGATTGCACAGAAAGCATTCAAAGACTTGTTAAAGTGCCTAGAAGATAAAAACCTTGATTTCAGACAAATCCCACAAGTAGTTGATCTATATCTGCCTTCAGAGGATAACAAGCTAGTGCTTTCAACAGAGCTCATTTTGTGTGATAGACCGTCTTTTAAAAAAAGATTAGCTGGAGAATCTACAGTCCAATATGTAAAGATAGACTCGATGCAAAAGACAGATTTGCTCCAGAAACTACCAGATCAATTCAGACCCAAATCACTATCTGGACTTTTTCATGAGGTCACTGATATAGGGGATGAATGTGAAGCTGATGACCATATTTCAAGGCTGAGGAGAATTTTCCAGTCTGAAGCTTTCGTGGAAGGAATTATCACCTACATTCAGACAAAAATAGAAGCAGGTGTGAACCAGCAACAAAAGAGCAGCATTACAAGGTCCCTCCAGAATGTTCGTTTTAAACAAGTTACTTCTCTGCAGACAGTCCTGGAAAACAATGAAAATCAAATGCTGATAGATAAAACTCGTAGAGACAAACAAATTTATTACACAAAGACTGATGGTGGAATTGTGATTTATTTGAAAATGAATCCGCTTTGGACTTCCTTTCAACAGTGCTTTGAGGCATGGAAATCCAAACTTAGTCAGGTTGTCTGTCTGTGTGTGCCTAAGAGGATGCTTGTATATCAGGATGGAGATTTCATTACTGAACTCCTGCTTTGTGGTTCAGATATTGACATTGTAGAGATTTGTAAGAAACACCAAATTCAATTACAATCGAAAAGTTGGTCACCTGCTCTGGGGTCACATGTACCCATTGATCTCCATGATACACTGGATAACACATTTTGTGATTTTCAAGAGGGAGATATTGTAGCATATGAAGTATTTGACCCCCTTATTGATGTTGATAGTGAGGATAATATACTGGTGCTTGACTCCGAATTTATTTACGTTCGTGTAATAAAAAAAGATGATGATGCTGTGTTCCCTCATTATACTGTGTTTAATGGTACAAAAGAAATATCAGTAAGCTCAATTAAACTTTACAAATTTGTTCGCAAGGCTGAGGAACAGACAACAGAGCTGGTACCATTTAGTACTGACAGGATTAAGAAGCAAAGCACAGGCCATGCTCGGATCCTTGCTGATATAAAAAGAATGTTGATCGCTGCATGGAAGTTACCAAGAGCAGAGAGAAGGGCAATCATTAAAAGATTGCTTCTGCAATGGCATCCAGATAAAAATCCAGGAAACACTGATCTGGCGAAAGAAGTCACTCAGTTTATTCTTGATATCATTGGAAAGTTGGAACGAGGAGAAATAGAAAAAGAAGACTACACAGCGGGATACAGTGGGGGAGGATCATCTTATCATTACGGAACATCTCAGAACGAGTGGCATCGTTTTCAAGAAAATGTAAACAGCTGTGGGAGTAGGCGGCATCGGAACAGGAGACATGGCGGGTTACCTGGTGGTTGGTACTATAGCGGATCTATGTACACACGTCAGCCACCTGATCCACAACCAGCTGTTGGTCTTCAGTGGTTGAGGCAGTCCAAGTATGACTGTCGAGCAGCAATTGATGAACTCAGAACTGGTGAACAACAGGATTCCAGTACTGTGAAAATCTGGAACTGGGTGTGCTACAAATCTCATCAGGTATGTTAACACGTTACTTTTCTGTTTGGGAAAGATTCAAGAAGCATAACATCAATATAAACTCCAGCTTACAATTTATTAAGGCAGCTCACATGAAATGCAGGATACCCATAGGAATCATGTCCATCTCTCTGTCTTTCAACACTTGTTGTGATGTGATATTTAACTTAAACAGTTTTTATCATAAAATGTTCAAATTTAAATAGGAATACTTGATAATTATAAATTTTGGGTCATATTCCTTCCATCTATATGTTTAATTTTACAGTATACTACAGATATTGCAATTCAAGGCACAATCAATTTTTTCATTATTATGAAGCAAATAAATTGAGCAAAATTAATTGAAAAAGAATATAAAGAGAAATTGGCCTTTTGGTCCTGTGAGGATATTTTTAATTTTGCTCCCGATTCCCAAAATCTTTAGAATAATCCTGAACCAATAGTACAATTCATTTTTTAAAAAATTAAAACACTAATAGTGAAAATAAAATCATTTGTTCTATATTTATTTTTAGGTCACCTGAGTCACTCAGGTGACCTATTACTATCTGTTTTCATCCATCTTGTGTTAACATTTGAACATTTTCAGCTTCTTCTCTGAAACCACTTAACCAATTTCAGCCAATTTTAGCATATGGCATCTATGTGTAAAGGGAAACAAAATTTGTGAATTTCATGGTCCCTGTCCCCCTGGGGCCTGAGGGGTGGGGCTAAAACCACCAAAATTAATGCAATCTTTAGAAATCTTCTTCTTTACTCCTGGACATCAAGCAGTCAAACTGTTGGCATGATTGTAATAAGCATTGAACCCTCTACCAAAGTGTGAAATTCATGGCCCCAGGGTCAGGCGTTCTTGTGGTAGGGCGGGGCTATATAGATCATATAGTGAAAGTGCATTATTTCTTTGAAAATCTTCTTGTCTACTCCTGGATATTATTGTAACAAATTAAATACATAGTTATGATAAGCAAGGGTGACTCTACCAAATTTGTGAAATTCATGGCCCCAGGGTCAGGGGTTCTGGTGCTAGGGCGGGGCTATATAGATCATTAAGTGAAAGTGCATTATTTCTTTGAAAATCTTCTCTCCTCCTGGGTAGTATTGAAACAAATACATAGTTATGATAAACAAGAGTGACTCTACCAAAATTGTGAAATTCATAGCCCCAGGGTCAGGGGTTCTGGTGCTAGGGTGAGTCTATATAGATCATATTGTGAAAGTGCATTATTTCTTTGAAAATCTCCTTCTCTACTCCTGGGTATTATTTAAACAAATTAAATACATAGTTATGATAAGTAAGGATGCCTCTTCCAAAATTGTGAATTTCATGGCCCCTGGATCAGGGGTTCTTGTGTCAGGGCGGGGCTCTATTTATTATATAGTGAAAATTCATTAATTCTTTAAAAAATCTTCTTCTCTGCTCCTGGGTATTATTTAAACAAACTAAGCACATTGTTCTGATAAGCAAGGATGCCTCTTCCAAAATTGTGAAATTCATGGCCCCAGGGACAGAGGTTCTGGTGCTAGGGCGGGGCTTTATAGATCCTATAGTAAAGGTGAATTATTTCTTTAACAATCTTCTCTGCCCCTGGGTATTATTAAAACAAACTAAGTACATTCTTATGATATGCAAGGATGCCTCTTCCAAAATTGTGAATTTCATGGCCCCAGGGTCAAGGGTTCTGGTGAAAAGTGGGGGGGGGGGGCTCTATTGATTATATAGTGAAAAAGCAAACTTTTTTTGAAATATTTTTTTTCTGCTTCTGGTTAAAAAGCAAAGAAGCTAAGTGTACATGTGTAGTTATGATGAGCTAGAGTGCTTCTTCCAGAGTAGTGAATTGCATGACTGCTGGGTCAGGTGTGCTGGTGTAAGGGTGGGGCTCTTTATAATATAGTGAAAATGCATTAATTTTGTTAAATAATCATGCCTGCTCCTTAGTGTTAAGCAGATTAACAAAGTGATTACTTATGATGAGCAAACTTCTGGTTCCAGGGTCAAAGGCTCTGGTGTTTCTCCGTGTGTGTGTGTGTGGGGGGGGGGGGGGGGGGTCTATTGATAATATAGTGAAACAAGAGGCCCAAGGGCCTTAATGGTCACCTGAGTATAAAACAACAATTTAGAGGATCCATAGAGTATAAAATAAACTGATAGATGAAGCTTTGTTGCCCAAAAGCAAGAGAAATAGGATGTTCAGGATCAATGAAATAATTAGTGTAGTATTCAGTGACAACTCATACATTAAATTCTAATCTATCTCCCATTTAGCACTATCACCATGCAGAGTATTAACAGATTATTAGTTCTTCCCAACCATTGAAAAGTTTCCAGGCAGCATGCTCCAGTTGTTCATAAATCTCCATAATTTTGTCCATTTTGCAGCACTTCCTTATTTACTTCCAAAAACAATCGTTTTTTTCTTCTCCGAATTTCCTCCATTCATGTGTTTATGGTAAATAAAGGCAGATATCTCATTAAATTATTTACGATCACTCAATCAACTGAAAGATGAGTGTTATGTGATTTACATGAAATATATTTCCAGTGTTTTTAATAATTTAAGATGGAAAAAAAACTTCGTTTTAGATGAGTTAGTGAAATGCACAGAAAAAGGAAAAATAATTTATTTAAATTCATTTTTGATTTCTATCATAATTAATTTATATATGTTTCAATTTACTAGTGAAAATTAAAATTTAATTTAAAAAGAATGACCTTAAAACCCTGATTATTTTTCGTAAACGTCACTTCCGAGATAATGTGAATAGTACTGCGCAGCCGCCAAGTCATTCAACTGCAAGTAGCCGGAGCGAGTAGACGTGGTCTTACTTGCTCGATCATTATTGACATATTTTTACATATTGACGAGGTCAATATACTCTTACAACTTTTTCAGAGTTCATTATCGTTTCTGACGTGGTCAGATCAGTATGCGGGGGCGATTTTGTCTGACGTGGTCAGATATTTTTTCATCGGTTTTGAAAGTACAAACCACGTGCGTCATGGCGGACGTTCCTAACCCTGACGATGATAAAGCACCGGTCAAGGGAAAGAAAAAAGCCCCGAACAAATCATTGTCTTCGGAGAAGACACCATCTAACTTACGTTCGTTGTCGAGTTCGTCGACTTCGACTGGCACTTCCACGTGTTCTCGTGGTCATGGCGGAGGACATGATAGTTCCGCGCCAAATAACAAGAATGAGATTCTCAACATATTAAAAGCGATTCAAGAGAATCAAAAGAAACAAGACGATCGTATGACAGAGCTAGAAAATCTGTATGATTATGATTACCAAGAATATGAAGATCGTCGTTTTAGATGAGTTAGTGAAATGCACAGAAAAAGGAAAAATCATTTATTTAAATTCATTTTTGATTTCTATCATAATTAATTTATACATGTTTCAATTTACTAGTGAAAATTAAAATTTAATTTAAAAGAATGACCTTAAAACCCTGATTTTTTCAACAATAATCTTTTTTTTTCAATATTAGTTGATACTCCACCCCCCACCCCCCCACACCCCCCTTACATTTAGGTTAGTAACTTTTTACTTGGGGCTAGTTACTTTATTGCTGCCACTAGTCCATGGGCTAGTACTTGATTTTTTAATTGTACTTCCCTGCAGCACACATGACCAAATGGTCCTGATGTTCAAAAATCTGTAAAAATATTCTTGCTTATTAAAAGTTTTATTCTGTTTGCCTTAGATATGCCAAGGAGCAGAGAAGATTTTCAAAGAAATAATGCATTTTAACTACAGATTCAACACAGCCCTACCCTAACACTAAAACCCATGTCCTAGGGTCATGAAATTCCCAAATTTGGTAGAGGTACCCTCATCATCAGAACTATGCTCTTAGTTGATTTTCATTCAATCAATTAACACATTTTCACTTTATTATCAATATAGAACATCTGACTTGGGGCCATGAAACTCATAATTCTGGAAGAAACGATCTTGTTCATCATAACTATACACTTACAGTACCTGGCTATAATACAGTACGCAGAATGGCTGCCATTATAAAAATATACGTGCACATTTGCAGTTTTGAAAGTTGTTTTTTCAAATTGATATTTAATAAAATTTATCCTACCTTACTAATACTTGGTAATGTAACCTTTTGCTTTTATTACAGCTTGTAATCGTGTTGGTATTGATGTGTACAGTTTTCTGTTCGTCTTCAAATCGATAGAGGCCCATATGTCTTTCACAATACGCACTAGGTCTTTGCGTTTTTTAATTTCGTCCAGGTGATGTTCTAGTCTGATCTTAATTGTCCTCCACACATATTTAATTATGTTAATGTCTGGTGATTGACTAGGCCAGGTACTGTAAGTGTAGGGATGTTGTTTGTCATTTTCCATTCAACCATCTGTCTGGACTGGTGCACCGGACAATTATCCTCCTGTAGAATCCAGGGACTTGCAGGAAACTCCTTTGCAACAAGAGGCCACAAATGATAATCTAGGACCAAAATATATTTCTCAGAGTTTATATTTCCTTCTACTTCAGTCAAAGTTCCAACACCATTAAAAGATAATTACACCCCCAGAACATAGCCGATATTGCTGGAGAGGGGCGAATGACTACTATACTGTCCAAGACATTATCGGGCTGAAATCTTTCTCCAGGTTTTCTCCAGATGTAAATTTTTCTGTCCTTACCTAAAACAACTTTCATCTCATCACAAAAAATGACCTGACTCCAGTTTTCCTCCATTGTCCACCCTAATTTGGACCGACACCACAAAACATGGTTTTGACGATTTGGTTTCCAGATTGTTACTTTCTTTCAAATGGAGCATCTTTGATATTTCTGTTCTTTTAATCTCCTTCTTACAGTTGTATTAGACACTTTCTGTGGTACAGATTCGTTAAATTCATCAGTTAAATCTGACAGAGTCTGTCGACGATTTTTCTTCACCAACCTTGACAAGACACGATCACCTCTTTCACCCACCAATCATTTTCTTCCCGGTCTTTCTCTGTTTT